TGAATCATGATGTGAATGGAAGGGGAGAGGGAGTGGGAAAGGGGAGGGTTGCGGGTGGGAGGGACGTTATGGGGGGAAGCCATTGTAATCCATAAGCTGTACTTTGGAAATTTATATTCATTAAATAAAAGTTAAAAAAAGTACTAAAGGGGCATGGCAAATAAATACATTACCCTAAATTGGAAGTTAAGCCAAAAAAAGAAAATAGCTATAAAACATTATTGGCACAATTGATGAAAACTGAATACAGTATAGACAGGAATATTACATTGACATAAAATTTCGTGATGTTGACAACATATACTGAAGTTATGTAAGGTAAGGAAACAATATGGGCAAATTACTGGCAAATAGGGAAGGAATAGAGACAGAATGAGGAAGAAAAAAGAGAACAGAAAAGTATACATGGCAAATGTTAATTGAGGAACCTGGATAAAGGGTAATATCGGAGTTCTTCGAAAGTTCTTTGTAATATTCTTATGAAATTAGAAAGAACAGGTTAAATAACTCAAAAGTGAAAAAGAAAACATAAGGGAGCCGACACTACTGTGCAGCAGGTTAAACTACTGCTTGTAGCGCAGTCATCCCTGCCATCCCATATGGGCACTGGTGGGAATACGGGCTGTTTAACTTTTGATTCAGCTCCCTGCTATTGCACCTGGGAAAGCAGTGAAGATCTCCCAAGTCTTTGGGCCCTTGCACCCATGGGGGAGACCTGGCTTTCACCTGGTTCTGCCCAGCCATTAAAGTTATTTGGGGAGTGAACCAGTGGATGGAAGATTTCTCTATCTTTTCCTCTCTCTGTCTTTAACTCTGCCTTTCAAATAATATAAATCTTTTTTTTAAATTAGAATGTAACAAATATTGAATGATAACAGAAATACTACATATAAAATTTGTGAAATTCTTCTAAAGTGGCAGAGAATTTATAGTATTAAATTTTTAATTTAGAAAAGAAGACTAAAAATTAATGAGCCAGAGGTCCAACTTAATAAATTAAAAAACAAGAAATTCAGAAAGAGAAATATAAACATAAAAGCAAAAATTACTAAAGTAGAAAATAAAATAATCAATGAAGAAGCTTGATGAAACCAAAAGCAGGAAATGGATTAGATTGTGATTATGGTAATTTAGCACACTGTCACAATGATATTAATGGTGGAAAAAAGCATATGATCATGGCAATACGTACAAAGCATTTGGTGAAAAAACCTCCATATGTATTCATGATAGGGACTCTTTCAGCCAACTAGAAATAAGAAGGAATTTTCTTAATACAAGAAAGAAAATTTATTGAAAGAATGGTAAAACTTCTGTAGAATTCTCCTAGGAGCAAGACATGGAAATCCTCTACCACTACCATGATTTTTCTCCTTGGAAGATTCTAGATAGTACAGTAAGATAAGCTGAAAAATATAATAAGAAAGAAGAAATTGCTATTATTCATAATTAATTAAAAGATAATCTAATAGAATATATAAATTATTGAAATAAATAGAATTCAGAAAAGCTGTAGTACATAAATCAATATATAAAAATATCAATTGTGCTCCCATTTATCAACAATTGGAAAATGTGGCTAAAAAGATACATTTCATAGTAACACCAGAAACTATTATGTAATTGGGAGTCAATTTATGAATGAATAAATTATAAGTTCATAATTATATATAATAAAATAAATTATAAATTAATATATAAACATCTTACAGATTATAATATTATACACTTTAATTATTTCATATAATGTAGAAAATAGTTTTAGTTTTCTTATTTGGTGTTAGCTCTTTGCTTTTTGTTTGGCTAGTTATTTTTCATGTGTCAAAATCAACTCTTATTCCTCCTCCTCTTAAATTTTTGGTCAAGAAGTTACCTTAAATTTCACAACTTCCAGGTGCAGAACATCAGAAAAAGCAGGGTAGCATTGTAAATAATCTTCACTGTCTTCACTGGGTGAACTATTTTACGAATGCACCAAGGAAATGGAGTCATAATGCAATCCCTTTAGACTGAAAAACAGTAAAATAAAGTGAAATCATTCCTTCTGTTACTGCCCATTTCTCATTTCTCCTGGCTTCCTCAAGTCCTTATGCTCCACTCTGCCCCTATTTCAATGCTATATGATATATTCTTACAAAACAGCTGTGCAAGGGAGCTTCAAAAAGTTTATGGAAAATGGAACTAAAAGATATCCTGCATTTCCCATGAACATTTTGAAGATTTCTAGTTTACATAATATTTAGAAGGGGTGCATTACATAGTAGTTTAGAACACAGACTCTAGAAACAAACATTCTGGATTCAAAGCCCAGTTTGGTCATTTAAGTGCTGTGTAACTTGGTAAAACTTAGCTTTACCTATACAAACCTCCCTAGTATAGTTGTTGTGGCTATATATATTAAACTATGCAAAGCCTTTTTGGAACAATGTCTGACACATACAAAGTGTTCAACGAATATTAGCTATTATTCTAATTTTCAGTTATTTGAATCGCTGGGGGAAATTAAATAATGGTTATATTCTTGCCCTGCACAGGCCCTTTTACTTTTTATCTGAGTGTTTCTCTCCTTGTGCCTCCCACTATCTCATCCCCACTACCAATTTAGATAGAGGTAACGATGAGGGAAGTAATGCTTTTATGGAATGAAGTGATATTTTCAAGTGAAAAAGAGCTCATTATATCTTTCTGTACTACCACCAAATCCAATACCCAGAATCTCCTTCGTTGTTATTGTGACTTCATCAATTATTGATTCATTTACTCAAATATCTGTTTCTCTCCTACTTTTTACCAGGCACTACATGTTGATAATCTACCCCTTACAACTCCAAGTACAATGTTTACCTATTGCAGGGGATCCATTAAAGTTCATTTCATGAATAAAGAATGGATCCCTCTCTCTTGATTGTAAGATTATAAGATATTTGATTATAAGATATTTGATATCTTGTATCATATTTGGTTTCATTGTTTCATTCTATAAAGCTCATCTAAACAGGAGACTGCTTTGCTAATAGTAAGAACTGGACTCCCAAAACACAAATAATACCACTTATGTAAAAACCTTCTATATTACAACTGCTTATGAAATAAACTGCACACTTCTCAGCACAACATTTAAGGCCCTGTAACACTGTACCATCACCACCTAGTCCTTCTGATAGATTCACAGTTACAGCCAAGCTGGTTCCGAGAATAAGCTTGCTTTCAGACTTTCGTTCTGGAAACAGCACAAGGCCTAAAAAGCGTTCCCTCCCCCTCCACATGGCAGATGTCACTCACCCTTTAAGGCCCACCCAAAGTTCCCCCTTCCTCTTTTGATGGCTCATGATTACTACCAGGCAGTGACTTGGTCCATCCTCCATGCTTCCTGAATACCTTGAACAAGCAAACATTATGGCACTTGGGTTTGACCATCATATTGTAACTTTTAAAAAACAAACTTATTAAACTCTCCCACCTTAGAAAGAAAGACACACTTCTGAAGCCTCACCTTACAATCCCTTCTGTTAGCACAGTGCTGGGCATAGACATTATTAGGCTTTCAATACATTCTTGTTAGTGGTCTTGCACTAGACATTTTTTAAAGGAAAAATTTTTGAATACACACAAAAGTAGAGAAAACAATATAATAAACCCCAACCTGTACATCACCCAGCTTTAATTTTATCAATTCACAATCATTTTTTTGTATCTCCCTATCTTGGCTTCATTAAATTATTTTCAAGCAAAAGAAGATTCAAGTCTATTTCTTAAAAAAAAAAACTATCTAATCTAAAATATTAAAATTATTTAATGCCACTAAATATCATTTCGTCCAAGCACATTTTGTGAAGCATCTGTTTAATGCCTGCACATTCTTTCTTCTATTTTCAAATCGTGGAAAAAAACAGGGAAAATGCATGATTTAAGTTTTAGAGAGCCTGGATGTCCCTGATGAGAAAGAAAGAATCTGACCTGGTTTGGGGTGGCAGAAATATATTCCCCTACTTCTCCGGAGGAGGAGGATGCGACTTCAGGCCGGCTGATGCAGGAGGAGGTGCGGAGGGGAGAGTGGTACTACCTCCGTTTGGAGTTCCTTCCGGATAATCCCAGCGCGGAGCTAGGAGACAGCGCTTTTTTGGAGGCTTGGCTTCCCGCGTATTTCCAGGTGGGAGTGTGGACCTCCCGGAGGCACAAGGTTGGTCCCCCATAAGGATTACTGGACCCGGGGCGTCAGCTTTCTCCAGTTGGCCCTGGCAAAGCCGAGAGACCTGAGATGGCGGCGGGTCCCCTCCGGGCACAGAGCTTCCTCCCGCTTTCGCTCTTACCGTATTTCCTGTATCCTGAGACGTATATCCCCTCTCCGCCTCCACCCCTCGCTCCCCACCCCATTTTAACGTTTCTACAAGGATATGTCTTAGAAAACGATGCATATGTTTAATTTGATGCACCCTGCCCCCTCAAGTCTAACCAAACCTCTGGAGGGTTTTATATAACTTATGCAAGAAATTCAAGTTTACCTCTAACTGGTAAATTGCATGGCTTATGTGGGGAAGGTGTAATGGGAGATAGAAACCACAAAATTATTTAAGAGCTTTACAGTCTTGATGCAGACTCACATTAGAAGCACGAGCTTACCTACGACTGTTTAAAAAGCAATATAAAAACATGTAACTTGACTAGGCTGCAAACAAGCATACTGGCTACAGAAATTGAATGGGAAAAATAATTCACCGTATGTCATAGAATCTAAGGTCACTGTTTTTATATTTTAGCAAGTTGGTGATTTTTGAAGGCTTACTATATACTGATTTTTTCACATTTCAACATCAAGGAAGTCTGTTAAACCTGACAGTAGTACTCTAGACTTTTTCATCTTTTTTTTTTCTTTCTTACAGCAGTGGGAAATAATGACTCATTTTGCTGTTGCTGATATGTTATATTCTATAATATATGGTAAATAGCCAGAAGAAGGTACCTGGTATCTCAGAAGAAAAGGCTTTTGGAACTTCTTAGACCTTAGTCTCTCCAATAGCCTTCATATCTATCCCCTTTTGACTATGGAAAAACCAGGTCACACTTTCTCCAGTACTACTCTCAATATTTTTTAATGGGGGGAAGTTCAATAGTGTCAAAGTACAACTAGCTTGTAATCAGTTTTGGTAACTCAGGCTTTGGGATCCTTAAGTAAATTCTTGGAACTTTGGTTTCCAGGGCATAATAATTTCTTTCCTGCAAAACTGTCACCATTAATCAAGGATAATACATTTGAGGCATTTCCTACCATAACTACCCCTCCTCTCCACTTCTGAGTATCCAGCACAGCCCTTTACACAAATTAGGTACTTAGTAAAGGTTTGGGAGGAAAAAAGACAATGTAGTTTTGTACCAGATGCTACCAATAAAGATGGGAAATTCAAGTGCAACAGTAGCTTTAAAACAAAGCTTTAAGGCTAAAAAGGCAGTTGGGACTAGACATCACACAGAGGTGATAGTTGAAGTTGTGTGCATGGATGATATTTCCAAAAGAAAATACAGAGAAAGGAGAAATGAATTAAAAAACAGAATATTGAGTACTTAGAAAAGAAGCCTGCTGCAAAGGGCTTCCTGAGAAAAAGTGGCTAAAGCCAAGAAAGAGAGCTGGAAACCCAGGGTTGCTCAATCTCCGCACTATTGGCATTTGAAGACACATCATTCTTTGTGGTGGTGGCCTACCCTGTGCATTGTAGAATGTTTGACAGTAGTACTCCCCATATGCCCCACCAGGTGTTATACTCCAAAACATTTTACAACATTGCCAAATGTTCCTAGGGGAGGGGAGAATCCCTAGTTGAGAAACTTTGATCTATCCCTAATCCTCCAAACTTACTTCTTACCTTGTCTTCTACATCTCAGTGAATGTTATGCCCTTCCTTCAGTTAAACAAGTCAAACATTGAAGTCTTTATTTAATATTTTGTTATTTCTAAAAGTAAATGAAATAACATTTTCACTTTATTTTTATGTAGGTCTCTAAATCTGCAAGATTAAAGACATTGATAGTAATATTTGAAATTTATTGTTCAATAAATTAAGAGAAATACATGTTAATTTTGATAAAGTGATGGGAACTAAAATTTTATCAACTACAGGTTGGTTTGACTTATGGTAAACATCTGACTTCAGGTGAAAACAGCCTCAACTTAGAACTGCTGCTGTCAACCTAGACTGTTAATACTACAACTCGATTTATTTTTATTTCTGGAAAATATTCACAGTATAAATTGTAAAGTAACATCTTAATCACTTTTAAGTATTATCAGAGTGTTAAATATAAGCATATTGTTGTAAAACCAACCATCAGAACTTTTTAGTAACTATTAAATAAAACTGCATTTCCTCCTCCCCATTAGATCCCTGGAAACCACTAATATACTCACAACTATATTTTTGTATGCTTCTTATTTTTTAAAGATTTACTTATTTATTTATTTGAGAGGCAGAGTTACAGACAGAGGGAGAGACAGAGATCTACTATCTGCTGTTTCACTCTCCAAATGGCCGCAACGGCCGGAGCTGGGCAAATCTGAAGCCAGGAGTCAGGAGCTTCCTCTGGTCTTCCATGCGAGTACAGGGGTCCAAGTGCTTGGGTCATCTTCTACTGCTTTCCTAAGCCATAGCAGAGAGCTGGATTGGAAGAGGAACAGCCAAAACTCCAACCTGGCGCCCATATGGGATGCTAGCATCACAGGAGGAGGCTTAACCCACTGTGCCACAGTGCCAGCCCTTATTTATTCTTGTTAAATTTGAAAGGAGGCTGTATCTCTTCTGAAAAACAATGGATTTGATGGTCCTGTGCATGCTAATTTATTTTTCCAGCATCTGTGTGTTTTAAGTAAGTAGTAAATGATAATTTCCCTTTAATATTATTTTGCTGTGTGTTAATATAATATTGTGCACTACTAGCACAAATAAATAAATAAATAAATAAATTGTCATTATTAGCAGCAAAAAAAATCCTTCCAGGTTTCCAAATATTTTTTTCTCAGTCATCTTCTCCAAATTAAGCTTTTTTCCCCTAAAAAAGAGTTATTACTTAACCTCATCTGATTCTCCAGAGTGGCAAGAACCCAAGTACTTGGGCAGTCATCTGCTGTCTCCTAAGTGCATTACTGCCTCTCAAGTGCATTAGCAGGGATCTGCACTGAAAGAGGAATAACTGGTCTCAAACCAGCACTCCAATATTGGAAATTGGTGTCCTAAGCTGTGACTTAACCCTTTGTACCATAATGCCCATCCCCTAAGCTTTTTTCCATCAGTGAACCAGCTGAATGTGAATCATATAACCAGAAGAGAGCACTCTTAGCTTGGACTGTCAAGCCAGATTTGCAAAGTGCTATAGATCTGCATTTCTTTTATAATGTACAGTGCTCAAAGGATGAAAACAGAGAACAGAACAAAACTCATTTCTGAGTGATAGTAACCTGTGTTTATTTATTTTTTAATTAGGAAATTAGCTGATTTGTTTTTATTTCTTTTGGAAATCAGTTTTTCATCTCAAATCCAGGAATGTTCCTTTCCCATTTGTAAATACAAAAGGCATCTATGTTCATAATTTTTAGCTACCAATATAAAGATAAGAACTACGGTGTTACTTTAGCACTCTCATGAAAAGAGAAACCAGTCTTTGTTGTTTTTTGACTTAATGAAATCATTTAGCAGTTTTCTCCATATAATTCATTCTGTCTTCCCACTTCTTAATCTCTTTAAAAATATTTATTTATTTGAAAGGCAGAGTTACAAAATTGAGAGGAACACACACACACACACACACACAGAGGTATCTTCTGTTTGCTGGTTCACTCACCAAATGACCACAATGGCCAGGACTAGGCCAAACCGAAACCAAGAGCCAAGAGCTTCTTCCAGGTCTCCCACATGGGTGTAGGGGCCCAAGCATTTAGGCCATCTTCAGCTGCTTTTCCCAGGCATGTTAGCAGGGAGGGGAGTTGAACCAGTACCTGTATTAGATGGGAGTGTCAGTGGCTTTACTAGTTACACAACAGCACCAACTCCTTTTTAAAATATTTTTAATATCTGCATTCAATCCTAGTGCCTGAATACCATAATTTTTGTTTAGTTTTCAGAAGATGGGTATTTGTGGACATAGGCTATTTCAAAAATTTTTGTTGAAAATTAATTAATTATAATAAAAATTCATCTTTTATAATGTACAATTAAATGTCTTAAGTATATTTACTAAGTTGTTGATCCACCACCACTGTTTAATCACAGAATATTTCCATCATTTCAAAAAGAAACTATGTACCTGGAAATAATTCACAATACCCCCTGGCCCCCTCATCCCTGACCACCACTACTACACTGTCTCTATGGATTTGTCCATACTGGAGATTTCATATAATTCTAATCATACAATATGTTGTCTTATGCCTTTGGTTTAAGCATAGTATTTTTGACTCATGATGCTTTACCATGTATCAGTTGGCAATTCCTTTTTATTTATTTTATTTTAAATTATGTTTAAAAAACCTTTTGAAATTTACCTCTGTCTCCATGGTCTACATTAGCAAGAACCTGGGATTAGGAGCCAGAGACAGTAATCAAACTCAGGTCCTCAAATGTGAGAAGAAGGCACAAACACTCTTGCTCCATCGTAATTGTTTTTAAGTGCATAGTGCACATTATTTTGCAGCCAATATTCAGAACTCTTGATCTTGTATAAACTGAAACTCTATATCTATTATTGGCAAGTCAGGGGAAGAGCCCAGGGTAAATGTCCCTCCCCTCCCAATGCCCTTACCTAGGGGATTCTCTAAGCAGAAGGCCAGAATTCAGGAGTCTGCCAACTCAGAGGACCTTGGAGCTAGGCAGGTTATTATAGCGGGCATCCTGGCCCTCCAGTAGGTGGCAATCTCCTGCTTCAGCAGCACTTGAAGTCCATGAGCTGCTGGTACTCCTGGTTCTGCTACTCAGGGTTAATATGCCCATCCCTCAGCTGGGCTTCCATACTGCTGATCAGCGCCTAGATCTGCCCCAGCTATGCCATGAAGTGGGCCTCTGTCTCTGCCAGGGTGCCTTATAGGCTTGCTCTCATGCTGAGCTACAACTACAGCTCCATCTTAAGACTCTGGAGGGAACAAGGCAGGTAACTGACATTGGACCTGCTTATTTGGAATTGCTCTGTGTGGCCAGCCACCTCTCAATTCAACTCCTTTGGCTGGCTGGTGAACCAGGCTTTGGCATCCTTCTGGTTCTTCTCAGTCATGACCTCATATTATATTCTCATTTACTCAGGATCTTCATTAGGTCAATATCTGAAGCAGAACCCAT